GACAAAAAGATCCAAAGACGAGTAAGCCACCAACAGAGGAAAAACCACAAATATTTTTAAATACTTAAAATTTAAAATGGACAAATGATCTGAATTGTCATTTCTCCAAAGGGTGTTAGCCGCCCTCGTTAGAATGGCTATGATCAAAAAGACAACAAATGACAAATGTTGGCGAGGATGAGGAGGAAAGAGAAGGCTTTAAGGTGTTGGTGGAAATGCACATTTGTACAGCTGAGAGGGGAAAACAGTAGCAGGTTCCTCCAAACACTAATACAGAACTCTCAGGGGACCCAGCAACCCCACTGCTGGTGACACATGGAAAGGAAAGGAATTCAGGGCTGGGGATGTAGCTCCGTGGTGGAGCACTTACCCAGCACACACGAGGCCCTGGGTCCCAACCACAGCACCAAAAATATAAAGAAAGAAATTCAGAGTGTATGGCAGAGACATCTGTAATCCCATGATCATTGCACTGTTGTTCAAAATGGGCCAGATATGGAAGCAGCCCAGGTGTCCACTGGCAGATGAATAGATAAAGAAAATAGGGTGCATATACACAATGGAGTACCATCCAGCCACAGAAAAGACTGAAATCCTGCCATCTGCAGCAACATGGATGAGCCTGGGGAACGTTAGAAGTCAGGCACAGACAGAGCAATGCTTCATGATCCCATTTGTATGTGAAAGCTAAAGCAGCTGAACTTATAGACGTTCAGGTCTAAGAAGCAGAGGTGGATAGAGAGACATAGGTTAACGGCTGCAAAAGTACAGTAGGATAGGAGGAATCCGTTCTAGTATTATATAGCACAGAAGGGTGACTATAGCTAACAATAATTTGTTAGATATTTCAGAATTGCCAGAAGAGAGGATTTTGAATGTTCCTAACATACAGGATAAATGTTTGATAGACATTTGATAAATGTTTGAGGGGACTGATTTATCTGTCCTGATTTATCACTACACATTGTACATGCATGGAAATATTCCACTGTGTACCACAAATGCTTACAATTATTATATGTCAATTAGATAGTAAAAAATAAAAATAAATAAGTATCTAGAATTCAACTAGTCATGAAATAAAAAGTTAAGATGAAATGCCACCTGATCTATGAAATTGAGAACTATTGTAAATAGTTAGTTACCCAGCAATATTGAAAGTTAAGACAATTAGTATTTATTTACTGAGGGTCAGAGTGTACATTGGTCTAGCCATTCTGAGGATTCGTTTTGCAATATGCACCAAGAATCTTTAAGAAACATCAATTCAATTTCCAGAAATTCTACTTTTAAGAAACATCAGCTAAGGACATAATCTGAGAAGGGTTTGAAGGTATGAACTGGAAGACTGAGGGCTCTCTCTTCCTCCCTCTCTCATATGTGTGCATAAAATGTTAAATGTAACACATGCTCATTGCAAAACCTTCAATATATTTGCAAGTATATAAAGTAGTAAATAAAAATCTTTTCTCCTTCCAAAATTATGATTATAACCTACTTTGTTTTTTAAGCAAAAAACCAGAATCAGACTAAACTTGATTTTTCATTTAATAAATAAAGGAAATCATTCATGCCATTATGTAGAGACTCATCTAATTCTTTTTGATGGGTGACCTTGCCTGGACAGATTTGCGGCTGGGCCTGTCTCCTGCGTGGAGGGGCTAAGTCAGGAGTTAGACTTGTGGCATCTTAGCGCCTGGTTTGTTCAGGCGAGGTCTACAAGTAGCTCTCCAGGAGTCCAGAGCTGCAGAATCTGATCCCCTGACTCACCTCGCAGCCCAGCAGCCACTGTGGTGCACAGAATCCACACGTGCTGGAGTCGACACAAGGGAGAAGGCCCCTGAGTCCATTTCTCATATGCTTCCTGGTGAGCCCAGGGTTGCTCCAGTGGGCTTATTGAAGTTACTGGGCAGTGGCCAAATGCCACTCTACAAGATCTGCCTAACACTGAGAGTGGCATGACAAAAACGTGCTTATGAGACACTGTTCACCAGAAAAATGTAAAGATTATAAAAAAAAAAAAAACATTCCCCAGTTGAGAGTGGTCATCTCTGGTGGTGGGATTGGAGGCCGTTCTGCTTTCTTTTTCTTAATGCTTTTCTGAATTTTCCACCTAAAATACAACAGAGATGTTTTGCTCGACGACTGCGTATGTATCCCAGGGCTTAAAGCAGCGGGTAGCACAGAGCAGGTAGCAACGAACACACGTGGAATTTGCAAGTGGGGAGGACTGAATGCTGTCCCAAAGAATGGAAGGCCATTCTGAAGGGAAACTGTCCGTGAAATCAGTGGTAAGTGATGTGACATGGGCAAGGTTTGTCCTAGGACAGAGCAAAATGCACAGATCTTTCATCAAAGTTAAAGAAATTGAATATAAAGCTATGGGGGGTCAGGCTGCGAATTGACATGTATCTTCGTAAATCCAGAACATAGTCACCTGTACTCCCATCTCCTCTCTCCAACACCCCAGCGTGGATTGTCTCCTGGGGGTGGAGGGTCCCCCACAATCCTGCTTCCGTCGGTGCTGACATCTAGTAATACGATAAACCCATGATAGATAGCCTCCGTCAACTGACGTCACTCTATTGTGTGTCCCTCTGTCCTAGGCACTCCACTCTCTGTATTAACTAATTTAATCTTTATAAGAATCTTGCAGGGCAGGCTGTATTAGCCCCTTTTTAAAATGAGGAACTGAAAACCAGGAGGAGGCGAGGTTAGAGCCAGTGTCCCTGCAGTCACCCGCCTCCCTGCCCCAGTTCCCAGAGTTCCCTGG